CGTGGCATTTGTCTGGATTGGCTTCGATCCCCCGTTCGGTCAAGTAGTAGCCGAGGAACTTACCGGCGCGGACACCGAAGGTGCATTTCTCCGGGTTGAAGCGCATTCGGCATGTCCGTGCGGTCTCGAAGACCTTCTTGAGGTGGGCCGTGTGGTCGTCCTCCGTGCAAGATTTGACGATCATGTCGTCCATGTATACTTCGAGCATGTCGCCGATTTCGTCGTGGAAGACACTGTTCATCATCCGTTGGTACGTGGCCCCGACGTTCTTGAGGCCGAAAGGCATTACATTGTAGTAGTAGTTGCCCGACGCCATCATGAAGGCCGTGCTCTGTTTATCGTGCTCGGCCATCGGGATCTGATTGTACCCCGAGTATGCGTCCATGAAGGACAGGAGCCTGAAGCCCGCGGAGTTGTCGACGAGCTTGTCGATGTTGGGGAGGGGGTAGGCGTCCTTAGGACATGCCCGATTGAGATCAGTATAGTCAACACACATGCGCCATTTCCCATTATTCTTTTTAACGAGTACAACATTGGACAGCCAGGTTGAATACCGGGCCTCCGAAATAAAATTTGCCTCTAGGAGGTCTTTTACAGCTTTTTCGGCTGCTGCCGATTTTTCGGGGGATTGGCGACGTCGACGTTGCACAATGGCCTTCGCGGTCGGGCTGATGGACAGCTGGTGGCAGGCGACCTCGGGGTCGAGTCCGGGCATTTCCGCGGCGCTCCAGGCAAAGAGGTCGGCGTTCTCGTGGAGGCAGGCTTAGAGCTATCTTTTCGCGAGATCTGGGAGTCCGGCGCCGATCTTCACGGTTCTGCTCGTGTCTTCCCCGAGTGTGATGAGTTCGAATTCTCCGTCCGGGATGGGGCGTGCTGGGTGGGAGGGCTGCCCGTTGACCTCGCTGGTCTTTATTTCGGGGTCGTGCTCCTCGGTGAAGCGACTGTCGAGGTGCACGGATCCGACCAGCTTCTTTGGTTTGCCCTTTGGTGCTACGATTGGAGTTTTCCTCTTGGTCGTCGGAGCGATGGAGTCTAAACCTTTCAGTGCGGCCTAAAAACACCTTCGGACGGCCTCGATGTCTCCGTTAAGGGTCACCACGGCCCCCCGTTTTGTGTAGTATTTCATCTTCAGGTGGACGGTGGAGGGTACCGCGGTGAGTTATGCTATCGTTGTTCTGCCCAGGATACAGTTGTAGAGGGACGGGCACTCAATGACTAAGAAGCGGATGCTGATTTCCCTGGCCGTTTCCTCTTCTCCGAAGGTGACTTTCAGCTCCACGTACCCCCAAGGTCTCGTCGTCGTCCCGTTGAACCCCTGAAGGTCGGAGCCTACGTAGGGGGAAAGGTTGGATTCATCGAGTTGGAGGGTTGTGAACAGGTGCGTGTACATGATGTCAACCGAGCTTCCCCCGTCGACGAGGAGGCGCCTGACGTCGAAGTTCGCCATCCGCGCCCGTATGAGCAGGCGAATGTTGGAGTTGGGGGATCCCCTGGGGAGTTCCTCGAGGTAAAATGTGATCGGATTGGATCGACCTTGGAATTTTTCGAGCGTGCTCATTTTTCCGGAGTTGTTCGCGATAAGCTTGTCGAACTTTCTCTTCACTGACCCTATGGACAGGCTCCTCGTGGCTCCATTTGAGATGACCATGGCTCTGGCGAAGTATTCCCAGCGGCTGGTTGGTCGGATTGGTTCGTCGATTAGGTCGGGTTCTTCGGGAAGACCGAATTCTCTGTCTGCGAACCAGTCCTCGGGGCGGTTAACACAAAGCGCGACCTGGAGCCTGCTGTTGTCCTCTGGAGAGGGGAGTTCCTCGACTTTCTTGGCCTCTGGGGCCTCTTGCCTCGGTGGTTCGCCTCCCCGGGTGTATCTCTTCAGGTGACCGTCTTTGATCAGAATTTCGATCGCGTCCTTGAGATGGATGCAGTCTTCGGTCACGTGCCCGTGACTCCTGTGGAACCGGCAGTATTTTGATTTGTCCACATTGGGTTTGGGGGGTGTCGGTCGCGGAAAACGGACACCTCCCTGGACGAATTCGGTTTTGGCGCATTCGACCAGTATGCGCTTGCGGGAAGCGACTAAGGCCGTGTACTCTGTGAATCGGCCGGCAGGGCCGCGTGGTTCGCGCTGTTCGCGGGGCTCGCGGGGGCGATCTTCGCGACGGCGGTCCCCTCCCCGTCGATGGCTCGAGGCTCCGTCGTCTCGGTGCCCGCAAGGGGCCTCTCTGTCTCGGGTGTCTCGAGCGGAGTTGGCCGCTTGTGTTTCTTCGAATCAGATATAATGCGCGGCTCTGTCGAGGAAATCCTGGAGGGAGGTTGGCCGGTGTATGCCTACGGCTTCGTAGAACTTGGAGTCGTGGCGTAGACCCTGCTCCATCAAGTAGCGCTTCATCTCGTCTGACGTTGTCACTTGCACTGCTTCCCGAGTGAATCTTTCGATGTACTTTCGGAGAGGTTCATCGGGGCCCTGGATTATCGCCCCGAGGACGGCTTCCGTCTTCGGGTGGCGCCGGGACGCCGTAAAGTGTTTGGAGAATAGGTCCTTCAGGACTCTCCACGACGTAACTGATTCGGGCTCCAAACTTTTGTACCAGGTCATGACGCCTTTCCTCAGAGTCGTCGGGAAGAGTCTGCACTTGATAGTTCCCCGGACGTTTCGGTAATCGAGCATGGCCTCAATGTCCTCTAGGTGATCGTCCGGGTCGGATGTGCCGTCGTACGTCGACAGCGTCGGGGGCTTCTCCATCCCTTGGGGTACGGGGGCAGCCATGATTTCTTGGGACAACAAGGTGCGATAATCGTCCTCGTCGCTGGGGGCCGGGGACCGATGGGGAGACGAGCCGTTCAGAATAGGCCCCTGGTTTCGGGTTCTCGACCTCCTGCCTGGGTTTTCGCCCCGAGGATCCCTGGCTGGGATCGCCGCAGTGTTCTGGTGCCCTTCGCGAACTTGTCTTGCTAGGGACCTGGTGCGTTCTCGCACCACCTGTGCGCGGTGTCTCTCCAGCCGCGGTCGGCGATTTCTGGTTCGAGGTGAGAGACTTCTCGAGCCTCCGTTCTGGTCTTCCCGCGGGGGGAACCTCGGAGGCCGACGCGTTCCAATGCTCCAATTCTCGCGTTTTGCTGGAACAGCAGCTGGTTCGTCTGGTTGATGGCCGTAAAGAGGGCGGCCACCGTTTGGTCCGCTCCCGCCGGGATGGGAACGGGTTGGAATGCTGCCGGGCTCGGGGGCCGGTGGTCGGCCTGAAGGAGCCGCTCCGCGGATGACGGTGAGGCAGTTTGGCCGTCTCTCTCGTCAGTTTCCGCCGGACGCGACGTTTCCATCTGCTTGTTTCCGTTGGTGGCGACGTTGAGCACAAAGTCGTGCGGAGCGTCGTCGCGGTGTGGGCTAGCCATGATTGTGGAGTGTTGGTGAAACTTTGGTTTTCTGCTCGGAGTAACGGGGAAGTTTCTGTTCCCACAGAAGGCGCCACTGATCTGACCTGATCAGAAGGGGATCACGGGCTGGCCACACGCTGTTGGACTGCTACCTGTTCACCGATGATGAGGAGAAAAAAGGGGGGTGTACCTGCAAGACACTCCGATGCCAAAGTAAGGAATTGGGCAGAGTGAGAGCAAAGTACAGAAAAGGGGAAGATGTGAATTACCTGACCCTCTTGAAGAAGAGGGTATTTATAGAGGGACCCCAGCGTTGTGCCAACGGTCACTTGCGTTGGGCTGGATTGCCAGGCCCAACCCAAGTGACTGCTAGGGCTTACGTGGCGTAGTGAAGACCAGGACGTGGTCTTCGCCCTAGTCCAACTGCTTCTTGATCTCCGGAAAGTGGGTTTGACCTGCTCTTTCGGAGGTGGGCAGTTGGTTGATGACGTGTCCTCGCGGAGGGGAGCACGTGGAGAACGTGCACCGGGCACGTTGTTCTCCCCGCGGAGGGGAGCTCAGGAGGTTCCCCGGAGGCACGTTGTTCTCCCCGCGGAGGGGAGCACGCGGGGACGTGGAAGAACCAAGGGTCTTGCTCGATGGACCGGGGGCGCCCTGTTCGGCCGAAAAAGGGGGCGTTGAAAACGCCACAGGACGTGCCGTCCATCCCGGCGGGTAGCGTGCCCTGCCCGTCCTATGGGGGTGTGTGCCCAATCAGGCTAATCCACTTAATGGACCTGGTGCGTTATTGGGCTGGACCGCGAGGCTGGGCCCAGACCAGAACATGTACTATTTCTACACCAAAAATTAAACACGTTACACTTACACCGTATAAAATACAACATGTGCAAGAGTTGGTGAGTATGAAGAAAAAGAAAAAAATAATTATTAAAGATTATTAAAAAGAACAAAACCATATAAAGCTACGGTGTACGTGTCATCCTAAATGTAAAAACATCATTTCTTAAAAACTAAACATATAAATTCTCAATTCTCGATGTTACACCTACTTAACATACCACTTCATCAACATTATAATAGTAAATAACAAGTGAAACTAAATTATCAATCATACTTTAGTTGTCTCAATAAAATAAGAAATTCATATAATTAAATAACTCAACTTCAAAAACACAAAAAGAAAATATTGTTAATCTAGATCTAAGAATGAATATTTTGTTGTTGTTGTGATTATTCCATAAAAATATGATAAGAAATATCAAAATATATTATTATCGATCAAATACAAGGAAATGATCACATTTTCATCTAAAACGAAAATCTAGATCAAACTATAGTAACAATTAATAATTAACAGTAAAAATATTAGTAACATACTTTTTATTATTTTGACATTGATTTTCTATTAAAATCTACTTTAATGAGGCCAAACAATAAAAATAAAAATTATTAATGTTATTTATGTTACTATTGTGACATTGATTTTCTATTGAAATCTGTCAAACAATAAAAAAAATTTGATGTCCTACCTTAAGGAACACAATCTCCTTTTTACTGCGTGAACTTTGAATACTATATATAATTTTTATCTACAAAACTTTTTCAATAAATATTTAGCTACTAAAGAAATGAAGTATTTTATTGTTGTTTGCATAATCATCTTGTGTTCATATGCATACCTATCTACATCTAGAACGTTGCATGAATCATCTGTTGTTGATGCACACCAACAATGGATGATTAAACATGGACGAACATACACAAACAGTTATGAAATGGAAAAACGGTTACAGATATTCAAAGAAAATTTAGAATACATAGAGAAGTTTAATAATGCGGGTAACAAGAGTTACACGCTTGGTTTAAATCAGTTTTCTGATTTAACCAGTGAAGAGTTTATGGCTTCATATACTAGTGTCATAATTCCTAACCAACTTTCTTCTTCCGAGATGAGATCAAAAACAATACTCTTCGATGTGAATGATGATATGCCAACAAATTTTGATTGGAGGCAGAAAGGAGCGGTCACAGATGTTAAGGTCCAAGGAATTTGTGGTAACCATTCTGATTTTGCTTAAGTTTTTAGAAACACATTGTCTTAGTTTTTAGTCATCTTAATTTTTATGTAATGTTTTTATTGTAGGAGCTTGTTGGGCTTTTACAGCGGTGGCTGCTGTAGAAGGTATTGTAAAAATCAAAACAGGTAATCTCATCTCATTGTCCGAGCAACAACTGGTTGATTGTGATGAGAAGAGCGACGGGTGTATTGCTGGTCGTTTTGATACTGCAGTCGCGACAATAGTACAAAGCAATGGTATTGTTAAAGAAAGTGATTATCCATACCGTGGAGTTCAACAAACCTGCCAAATAAATGGTAATGTAGAACCCGCGGCTCAAGTAAGTGGTTTTAGATTTGTAACTTCCAATGATGAACAACAACTACTACAAGCTGTGGCGCAACAACCAGTATCAGCTGATATCGCTATCGATGAAGAGTTTCGTTTATACAATGGAGGAGTATATTCGGGATCATGTGGAAGCTCGATTAACCATGCAGTTACTATAGTTGGTTACGGGGTGAGTGAGGAAGGGGAGAAATATTGGTTGATTAAGAATTCTTGGGGTGAAGGATGGGGTGAGAATGGTTACATGAGGTTGGTAAGAGAAGGTGGTGAATCTTCAGGTCATTGTAGCATAGCTACGTATGCTGGTTACCCTATTATGTAGTAATTCTTTCAAATGAATTTTATTCTGGTTTTATAAATAAGTTTCATACTTTGTGGTTAATTTCAATAAAGGAAACATAACTTGTTTAGGATCATTCTCCAACCGAAAATAAAAACCTTGTTCGGAAACTTTGTTTTCCAGAAGCTGCCTAATATTCGAAACAAAGCGTCGTCCACAAAAGCCTCATCTTCATTTCCACTAGCAAAGCAATGCCTTATTAAACAATTCAACATCTTTAATCTCCAATCTTCACTTCTCTCTTGGTCTGCAAATCCTTTAATTACAATATTACTTTCTGCAACTTCTAATTTTTATTTTGTGTTAACGGTTTTCCATGTTAAGACTAATACATGTTGTTTTTATAATAATATATTGTTTGACTGCTCATAAATAAAAAAATTCAATTTATGAAACAATTAATATTGGGAGCATATTTTTATGAGGAACCGAATTTTTCTTGGGGGCATATTTTCTTTTTTGACAGAGATAAGTGGGCTTGGAAGGTCGCAAGGGACGCTGTTTTTTCGATTTCATCTATTTATCATTTTTGCTCGAATCCACCCGAGTTTGACGTGAAAAACTCTTTTTGGTTGATTCTTATTAGGATTTGGGTTTTTTTCAATTTTAAATGATAGATATATAGTAGATAATAAGACGTTGATACCCACTCTGAATCCGTCCATGAATTCATCCCGTTGATAATTTAGAATATTTCACTTTAATAATTTATAATATTAATTATTTGGTTTGTATATTGATATTTTGATTTATTCTTTATTATTTAAACTATTTGAAAGGTAAGTTAGTCATTTTTTCATAATTATTTAATTTAGGATTTAATTCAATTTATTTTTGTGGACGAGTTTCAGTTTATTCTATGTAATTATTCAACATTGTTTCAAGAGCAACACAAGTGAGAGAGACATCATATATTCATTTAAAACTTTAAGATGATAGGTGTATGAGTTCTTCCACTTATAAATGCTCTCCACGTTTATAATCAATGTGAGACTCCAACTCACACTTCACATATTATTATTCTCAACACTCCCCATTCAAATGTGAGTTCACAATGCTCCCCCTCAAGTGAAAACTCTTGTCCACATACACTTGTACCGCAGTTGACACCTATTACTAGGCACCTCACTAAGCATTTCGATACACCTCTTCTTGGGAATTCGATTTTAATGAGACACCTCTTCTTGGACATTTCGATACAAGTAATGTTCTGAATAGAATGCTTTGAAACAAAATATAAACGATTTCTTTATAAACAAGAAACACACAAGGGTTAGGGTTAACAAAGAAAACAAGGTAAAAACAATAAGGATTGGTTATAAAATGCTCTTCTTTTCTTTCTCTTTCAAACAAGATTACAAGTATACAAGAATAACAAATAAACTCTCTTTATTGAATTAGGATTTTATCTTCCTATTTTTCTTTATATAAGATGAGAGACTAGCATGCTATTTATTAGAAAACTAAGACACTAACCTAATGAGCTTTTTAACAGTTACCCATTACAAGCTAACTTAAACAATTTTGCTTACAAGCAAGACCCAATTGAACATGCTAACAACCTAGCAATATTGGCTAATGCATGTTAGAAAAAACTTCGACTACAACACGCATTACTCCGAGAGCATACTAGAGTTCGATCTAATATCTCACAAGTAAGCTGGTCCCTTTCTCGAACCAAAGGCTCATGACACCACTACGCCAGAAATGAGTTTTAGCAGCGCATACAAAGACAGCGCTTTTTAAAAAAGCACTGCTAAAGGGTGAGTAAAAAAAAAAGAAAAAAATTGCCTATCAAAGACAACGCTTTTAAAAAAGCGCTGCTAAAGGGGGAGCCTAAGATAACGCTTTTTAAAAAGCGCTGCTAAAAGGGACCCTAAGAAAGCACTTTTAAAAAGCGCTGCTAAAGGGGGACCCTAAGAAAGCGCTTTTGAAAAGCGCTGCTAAAGGGGGACCCTAAGAAAGCGCTTTTTCTATAAAGCGCTGCTATATGGCATTGCTATGGCACCCTATAAAAGTGCTTTTTAAAGCGCTGCTAAAGGCCTTTAAAAAGCGCTGCTATAGGTATTAATATTATAATTTTAAAATACCCTCCAGAATTTTAAGAGAAACAGAACAGTCGCGTAGTTTCTTTTCTTCTTTCTTTCTCTGGCGAACGAACGAACGTTGCCCTATAGTTTCCGTCATCCTCCGCCCGACCGTCGCCTTCTTCCGTTGGATTTCGCCGCCGTTCACCGTCCGTTTTCGAGTGCATCCGTCCGTCTGCATTGCATTTCCACCATTGTTACGGTATGTGAAGTTTTACTATGGTTTTCTTGTTTATTTATCTTTTCACCATTGTTGGTATTTGAAGATATAGATGGTTTTTCTGTTCTGATGATATAGATGGTTTTGTGTTATTGAGATATTGAAGGTTTTGTGTTATTGTCTCTTTGTTGTTATTAAGATATTGAAGGTATATGTATATGGCATTGCTGAGTTATAGTGGTTATATGTATTGATCAAATTCTTTAAAGGTTTGTTGAGTTAAGCATTTATGTGTTATTGAGATATTAAAGGTTTTGTGTTATTGAGATATTGAAGGTTTGATATAGTTGTTGTAATGCGAAGTTTTGTTGTTATTGAGTCATTGAAGGTTTAATATTATTGTTGTTGTTGTTGTTGTTTTTATTGAGTTATTGAAGGTTTAGTGAAAGTTTTTAGTGTTGTTTTGCATTGAAGGTTTGAGGACATGCAAGTAAATTTGAGTTCAAGTATGATATTTGATATGATGTTAACACTAATGTTGTTGGGTTTGTGTAGATATGTTACGTATACTATTGTTTTTGTTGTTGTTATTGTTGTTAAAAGCCTAAACTCAAAATGTTTTATGTGTTGTTGTTTTTCTATTGTTATTTTGGGATTGAGATTGATGTTTTTTTTTAATGTTATTGTTGTTTTTATTTTGTTGCTATTTTGAACTTAGATGGATAATTCATCTAGCACCACTCATACAAATGAGTTTTCTTCTAATTTGAATATAACAAAAATATTAGATAATGATGGCTAAAAATATTAATGTAACTTGATAGAGCATATTTTTTTTAATAGTTTGGAAATTCGTATTTTTTAAGAGAGTAGCCAACATGAATATGGTTTTATATGATATGGTTTTATATGTTATTATGGTTTTATATGTTGATATGTTATTATGGATTTCTCAATGTTTATATGATATGTTATTATGGTTTTATATGTTTAGTTAGGATTTCTCAATGTTTAGTAAGGGTGTCATTTTGGTTTAAGGATTATCTAGTATTTTTAATATGATTTGTTTTGGTGGATTATCTAGTATTTTTGTTTTGGTTAATTATTAATATGGTTTTAATAAAATTTATATTTTGTCTGCTATAGGGGTTACCTGTGAAGAGCAAAGTTGTGATCGTTTCCAAGCATCCTACTGTGTAGCATTCTTAGAAGTTAGTGATTTCTTTACAGGTATTCTCTGTTTTGTTTAACTTTCATAGTTTAGTGTAGATTACTCAATTATTATGGATAAAAAATGGATGTTTGGTAATCGATTGTCAAAAGAGTACGAGAATGGGGTATCGAAGTTCGTTAAGTTCGCTGTTGAACACGCCAAAGACCCCAGTAGGATCACATGTCCTTGCTTAGGATGCTGTTATGGGCGTCGAGTTGACGCCGTTCAGTTGGAATCTCATTTAATGAGACATGGAATTGATCAAAGTTACACATGTTGGACATTATATGGTGAGATAAGTAACGAGAATGTTGAACCCCGGAATAATACGACATGTGCTTCAAAGGACAATGGCAGGGATACATATGATTGTGATCGAGTTGAAGAGATTGCAGAAGCACTTGAAGAAGATCTTCAAGATTGTCCCAAGATGTTTGAGAGGTTGGTAAGCGATGCAGAGAAACCGTTGTATAAAGGTTGCACTACTTTCACAAGATTGTCCGCGGTATTAAAGTTGTACAATTTAAAGGCGGGTAATGGATGGTCGGATAAAAGTTTCAAAGAGTTGTTAGTCCTACTTCAAGAGATGCTTCCGGAGGATAATGTTCTTCCCAGTCGAACCTATGAAGCTAAAAAAATGTTATGCTCTATTGGCATGAGCTATGATAAGATACATGCTTGTCCAAATGATTGTATTTTGTTTCAAAATGAATATGCATCATTAAACGAGTGTCCTAAATGCGGTGTATCTCGGTATAAGAAAAAATTATCACCAGCAAAAGTATTATGGTATTTTCCTATAATTCCGAGATTCAGACACATGTTTCGTAGTGAAACAGATGCAAAACACCTGACTTGGCATGCAGATGATAGATTTGTAGATGGGAAGTATCGACATCCGGCAGATTCACCACAGTGGATGAAAATTGATAATGATTATCCTGATTTTGGAGAAGAAGCTAGAAACCTTCGCTTGGCATTATCGACTGATGGAATGAATCCGCATGGTCTGCAGAGTATCTCACATTCCACTTGGCCTGTAATTATTATGATTTATAACCTACCTCCATGGCTATGTATGAAGCGTAAGTACATGATGTTATCTATGTTAATTTCTGGCCCTAAACAACCAGGGAATGACATAGACGTATACCTGACACCTTTAATCGAAGACTTAAAGAGTTTGTGGGAGAACGGTGTGGAGGTTTATGATGGATATAGGAAAGAAAGTTTCAATTTGAGGGCGATGTTGTTTGGCACAATTAATGATTTCCCAGCATACTGAAATCTATCGGGGTATAGCATTAAAGGTCAATGTGCGTGTCCTATATATGAAGAAAACACAGATTGGACGCGGTTGGAATTTGGTCAGAAGAATGTCTTTCTTGGTCATCGTAGATTCTTAAATTCTAATCATCACTACCGTGGTTGGAGAAAAGCATTCAATGGAAATTCAGAACAACGTAAAGCTCCACCTACATTGACCGACGAACAAATTTTTGAAAAGGTGAAAGATGTGAGT